ACCATTTTAACAAAATGGTGCTTCAGCAGTGCCTTGGAACCAAGAATTGAGCTTTTGAACGTAAGGCAGCGAATAGAACAGGAAAAGCAGCACTAAAATCATCTACACACCATGGCTTTTCAAGCCACATGCTTAGAAATATATGGCAGAATCCTTCAGTTCTTGCAGAATACTAGACTGCTAGTCTTTTATTTCTTAAGTAGCTAAAATTACTTGCATGTTTTTGATATTTTTGTTTACCATCCCCCAGCACAAAGTATGAAATTATTCTCTGAACCTACAGATGTCATTAAATAAAAATATTACAAAGCCCTATTTTGTTGATGTACATTATTCAGACTTTTACTGACTTTGCCCATAGGGACAAACCCTATTGGTGCTAAGTACAAACAGGAAAAGATATAGCTTAATCAATGGTTTATTTAGTGGCAGGCTTCCTTCAGAAAAGGAGAATACACTTTCCCCCTGCTGATGCTAAGACACAAATTAAATTAGGATTTGGTGCAAAAATGTATCCCGTGCCATCAGCATGATTATCCTCTCTGTTCTGGGTAACAGTCTTTCCTCAGAATTATTCTGCTATGGAGAATACAATACTTGGCTCAATACATAAAACAAATAAATGGTTTATCCTGAGTATTTTAACAGCAAGTAATTCTATATTTAATGTAGGCCCATAAGATGCCAGCACACACCTTGTTGCCTTGCTAAAACATAAATCTCAAACTTGCTAAAAAGAGCAGTATCTAGTATGGATGAGATTGTCCCAGAACATTACAGACACTTGAAAAGAAAAACTGAGAAGGAGATGACTTAAGGGATTTTCTGTAACATTTAAGAAGTAAGAAACAGTGTAACCTTTAAGTTTAATGAGCATTGGAATACAACAATTACAGAGACACAAGTAATTTAAGGGAAGAGCATTCACTGGCAGTCACTTTGGCCACACACTTCATTTGTTTCACAGGGAAAGGACAGCACCCTGTAATTAACAGTCATGGTCAGAAGCCATGTCCAAAGCTTGTTACCTTCTCACAGGACGCCCTTCTCACAAAGCTGGAAGGGCAAGAAACTCCCCTACTCCACTGACGAAGGACACGTCCCCTTCATCTCCACATACTGCTGCTGCACAGACGTGGCGTTAGAAACATATTTCAGACCTGCAGGGGTGGCCCTCAGGTGCTACTACGGGTTTTCTCTTGCCTGCTGCTTCTCTGGTTAAGGGTACTGACAGGAGGAGGAGGCTGTCCATGCCACAATCCCTACTCACCACTTAAACAGGTTTTTGAGCTCTGCAAAACCCTCAGTCATGTATTAGAAGCCACTGCTTGACCAAGACTAACCAGACCTATTCCCCTCTTTCCTACACAATAAGTCTCTTTGTGCAAGATACCTCTAGTAAGACTTGAGCACTTCCTTGCTAAATCTCATTTCCTGACTGATTCACCGAAGATGCTTAATTGCTGCCAGTGCCAGGCAGGATGAGAGACAGGAAACAGACACAGAAACATGCCTAGTGAGGGCCTAACAAAGCAAAGGAGATCCACATGAGTTCTTCCAACGATTTCTTTTCAAAACCTGAGTTGAGTCTACTTTGTATACAAATGGGAGGATGTTCAAGGACACCGACAACACAAATATGCTGCTGATTCAGCAAATGAAACATGCTGATCAACAAAGTGGTGACCAACACAACAGAAAGATAAATAAAGGACAAACTATGCATGATATAGTTAACTTTTATTTATTCTTCCAGCTGCTTGTCCAGTCTTCCCAGCAATTTCACAAAAGGTCTAACTTTGAATTTGAAAGGCTTGGTATTACTTCTAGCACGTATGCAGATGAATAAAGGCTGGACTGTAAGTTCACACTTTAAGGACCTTCAGAAACTTGTGCATTAATTTGGTTAGTAACTAGAGACTCACCACATTGTTTCAATAAAAATTATGACAGAGTACAATTTAGGCTTTTCCGTAAGTTCATCACATTGATATTTTTCTTCTATGTTTTGTGGTCCTCATAAACCAAATAAATTAGCCTAGGTCCAATTGTCCCTTTCAACTACATATAATCACATAATAGGAAAGAAAGCACTGAAAGTCTCATTGCCATTGAAGTGGCCACAATGGATATTATAATAAAACAGGAGATAAAAGAAATAACTCAAAATTCCTAGACTACAACTTCTGTGGCTGATTTAAATGCCTTCAACAAATACTTGATTTGATACAAGATTATTCAAACTAACTCTCTTTTCTGATGTAGTATTTATATGGTAATCCTTCCAGACAGAAGAGTTCACTCATTTCCACATCTTTCCTCCCAACACCCCATTTGTAGGGCTAACACCCCCAAATACATACTTCTGAGAACTGTCAGGAAAGGCTCCATAAAATACTGTGCAGGTCGAGTTGCTTTGAAATTAACAAAATGTTCATTAAGTGTAAGACAAATGCCTTTTCTTCTCATCTGAAAATTGATCAGCTTGCAGACTTTATCTTAAACATGAACAGATCAGATTCTCCACTTACCTACCCTTCCCTTCCCTTTTATTTTTGCAAAATACTATCTATTTTTTGTATTATGAGGTATAATTAGTCTGAAGCTACTGGCTCATTTCCATATATGCTAGTGAAAAACTGGTGAAACTACTGAATTCAATATGAGGACTTGCTAGTTTAGGCTCCAAGTCTTTTCTTACATGGCTTCTAAAATTCATAGTCCTTTAATAATAAAGCAGTCTTTTGTCCAAAATTAGTAGGACTGAAGTGAAGGATCCATTTTTGGTTGAAAACACCTATCAATTCTGAAGAGCGGACCTCTTTTTGAAATATTTTTCAATTGCTAGCCTTTGAAATATGGCAATTTCTGAAAAGATAAAAAAATTACGGGTGCCATGTGGACAAGCAGGTATATATCAATCACCGTGCTCATGAGGCAATTGCTAAACACTAAATCAAACACAAGCTTATAAAATGTAATATTCCAGGAATCTACTGAGGCAGCTTGAGGGTTTGGTTTTTACATTTTGAAGATGCTAGAGGCAGTTTCTATTGGATCTTGAACACTATGAGAACCAATGTTTTTCATCAGCTATCCTCCTCCCACCCCATTCAGAAGAATTGGCTTATTCTTGAATGTGTGTGTGTAGCTTTGATTTTTTACCTGAAGACATGCAGATATAAGATTTTCCCCATATACTGATCAATGCCTGGTTTTAGGCATTTAAGTTTGCTCCTTTATGTTTTTGCTATTGATATAAACCCACTACCTTCCACATGTGCTCTAAGTCTTGGTTTGCATGCAAGAGTCTAATGCAACATCTCCACTGAGTGAACTGAGGCTCAGACCTTTGGAGCCATTCACAGCCCACAGATAAAGCAGAAAGAGTCATGAGGGGGTGGGTCACAGGACAAAATATGGCTTCTCATCTGTAGATTTGCAATAAGGCTTTTGATTTTGTTTGCAGCTTGGTTTCCAGTCAAGAACTTCAGTATTAAAGATAAAATTCTGCCTATAAACTAGCTAAAAATACCTTTAGTTTCTAGAGGCAAATTATCTGCATAATCCTTAATTATTAAGCTTCACTGCTCAAAGCCTGTCTACATTTCTTAGTGGACATTCCCCTGGAAAGCACTATTTTTATGTTAAAAGAACAAGTTTTAGAAAGGGTAGGAGAACACTCCCAATCAAGTAAGTTGATGAGATTTCATTGCATAAGCAGATAGCGGTGCTACAGTGAATAATTTCAAATTAAATGTTTTCCAGTGCCATTGTATCATCTGCACACTATTAATTTAGTTCCTTATATTTCGCAGAAGTAGGACACATTTTCCACATGCCATTTATAATCAACATACATGGTTAATTTTATTCCTTACTGGAAAGTACCCTGGTCTATTTACAAACTAATTTGGGAAGTAACATTGTGACAGTCAGACCCAAGTGGTGCATCTGACACAAGTGTGAAAGGAAAGATGAATAGGTGGGATTTTGCATTAGACATTTCAGAGTTAGGGAATCAAATGTTTCCAGTTCTATACACTTAGAATTATTTCTGAGAAGACATGTTGAACTTAAGCATTAAGATACCTATAGCCCTACACTACTTCATCAGTTGTTTTCCAAGACATCATTCATTCCTTTGTTGAATGTTTGCTTCCCAAGTATTTATGTTACTTGGAAAAATCACAGGTCTATGAAAGAGCTTTATTTTGTGATTCTGATTTATGTAACTAGCTCCTTGCTCATTGGTACTAAGAAGTAGAACTTCTTTGCAATGGCAAGGGGAGTTCAATAGAAAAACACCAAAATGGTACAAACGGAAATAAGAACAAAGCATAAAAGCATAGCATTTAATGTAGGATGAGCTTTGAACTGAAATATTCAAAAAACCCCACCCAAATCCTGCCATATTGGTATCAGACCAACTTGAAAGGCACTGAGAATTGAACTGGCAACCCATATCCATGCCAGCAAGAAAAACAACCACAGTGAGAAGCAAACCTCCAAGGCAGAATATGGCACTGTACAGTCCGTTAGGCATTCCTGGTACATATGGCAGCTTTTCATTTTCTTAGGATACACTGGAAATGTTAACTAAATATACAAATCACATCATATTTTCATGGAAAGAAAATAATCCAATTTACATCATCTGAAGACGAGGAAACAAGGCATAACATATGGGACATTCTTGGCACAAGAAAATGTTACCACACCAAAACACACCCTTTTAAATTTAATACAGTAGATACATAAAGGAATGATGGTGGCAGAGGCAAAGGGACAGGAGGAATACCAAACACTCAAGTTTTAGCATGCTAATGAGGTTTTTGTTTTGGAAATCTGACAGGAACTGATGCTACCCAAACCATTTCAGAGGCAAGAAAGCACCTATCGAGACAGTCCAATCCATTTCCAGGAGTTCTTCTTGTGGGCTGGCAGGACACATGCAGACTGAAGGACCTGTGCAGTATCATTTCCGTGCCCAAGTCTGCCTAAAGCTTCCCATTAGCAAATGCTGCCTCCTGGAACTGAGGGACAAACGTTTTGAAATATGCCCTATTGAAAAAAAGAAAACACATGGTTAGGAAGGAATAAACTTGGAACACGGTGTGCGCATGGACGCAGCCAGGGTTTTAGCAGAGAAGAACAACATTAGCAGGCTCAGTCTGAGCTCCTCTCACAAGCACGCAGCAGATCCACACACTCCAGCTTTCTAGACCTATCAGCACTTCTCTCCTCAGGGTCCTGCCACTAACCTCTTAATGTGGTCAGCATCAGTAACTTGACACTGTCAGAAGAGCCTGACGGACCATCCACATTTTATCCAGTGCAAAGCTTCAGAGATAAGCTGTATAATAGACTGGAAATCACACCTTTGAATGGCTCTAAAAGTAAGAAACACTTCAGAGGAGCCACAAATGTGGCAATGCCACTGCCTGCAGCATTTTAAAACCGGGACTTTTTGATGCAGTTGATGTTCACCACGTTTATGGGACAACAAGTTGGGTTTTTTCTCCTGTGTTGAAGAAAGCGTCACATATGGTACCAAAAGCCCAAACACAGAAAAGTTAACGCAGCAGGGGAATAATGAGGAGAAGTCAGCATATATGCAGAAGATAAGCTCCTTATCTGTCCCCTTACAGAAACCTTGACACAGCACAGAGTAATTGTCAATGGCAGGAGTTTACGTAAGACATAGTGAATAAATACTAACACTTTGTATGAACTGTAATTCCTTTCCTTAGACTCTGAAGGTCATAACATTAATCCTTTTAATTAAGATGTGCTTTGTATATTTTGGATCTTCATCTGCCTTCTTAGAAATAATCAAGTGAGTCATAAATTTGTAAAATAAGCTGAACCCAAGTATCCAACACTGAGTTTGAGCTGTACCTTTGAGTTTATTGCACTGAAATACTCAACCATGTAGTAAACATATTTTATATGTCTCAGTGATACCTTTTATTTGCAAGTAATATTAGAAGCTGACTCATCATTCTGACTACTACTTTCTGCACCAAACTTTCACTTTATCTACACAAAAAAACCCACAAAAAACCCCCAAACAATCCAAAATGAGAATAGCTGCAACTATGTTCATTATGTTAGTGATCTCTCTGCTGGTGTTCCTCCTGAGGCAAACATACACTGATCATCTTCACAATCATGATATGTATTTAATAATTCAGTTAGAAGTTCTGGCAATCACCAAGCACCAATCAGCCCTCCTTACATCTGAAACAGTTGTAAGACCACAAAAGAGAAGGCTCTCCTCTCTTTGTGAAGTTATGCCTGGCAAATTAATTAACAGATATGTTCAGTCAGCTTCTGTACACAAGCTGTAAACAAACATGAGATGCCGTCCAAAGGTTAACAGAGCAATAGAAAGTAAAAACATTTCTGGACTGAGAAGCTGAGCCCAGACACAGGAAAGAAAAGCAGCAAAAGCAGCACACACATTTTACAGCATACACAGACTGTGCTGTATATTTACAGACCACACTCTGATTTATTGAATCCAAGTTCAGAAAGCAGCCCCCATGATTATGCCCACAAAAGTGGTTGTTCATCCTGGCAAACATGCACACATACACCAGCTGAGAAGGGATGCCTGTCATCTCATCTTACCAGCTGAATGCCATTTCTGTATTTGTGTGTTTATAGCATACGTTTGAAACCACAGCCTAGGTATGTCCTGGTCAGCTCTATGTAATTTTGCTAGCTCAAGGAATATCACTTGCACAATGTCAATGCCACACTCTATCATCCTTCTATTTCTTCTTGCATTATCTGCCAAGACTTTTAATTACATTCTTCTCCTTGCTTATTTTAAGCAGCTTCTTCCTTCCCCTTTGACAGCCTCTCTGCAGACTCTTCTTCCATGCACATGATCTTCTTACTGACTTGATGTTACTTAAAACTTACTTCTTCCTAAACTGTAAAGGTTCTTATTCATTAATTAGAATATAAGCAGAAATATTCTCCTACATTTTATTTCTTTTCTGAAAGACCTTTATAGCATTTCTGTGCATCCTCTTAAAACCACACTTACTGCATTATATTTCAATGACTTTACTGTTAGGTAAATTCCAGAACGAATGCTTCTGATACCACATACATCCTCCCACACCATCTTTATCTACACCAGCATCCTTTCTTTTCACCGATTCCTGCAGTAGAGCTTGTATCCTTTGCTGCTAAACTAAATCTAACACCTCCCTACATTCTGATCAGATGGACTATTTCAAAGAGAATGTTATTTCACTGGTAGGTCATATGAACCTTTTGAAGGTGTTCCATGCACTACACAAATTCCATTAGTACTTCATAATTTGTGAGCATCTACTTTTTTCTTTCCATACTTTAAAGGACATGCTTCAGTTTGCCCTTATCATTTGTGGTCTTGTCCAGACTGAAGCAAATACAGTACCACGTTTACCCAGGATATGTTCCTCCATTTCTGCTCCTCTCTCACACACCTTAGGTATTTGAGATTAAAAAAAAAAAATATTGAAAAAAGGATAATTATAGTACATCACACACACCAAAAAAACCCTACACCCTTAACCTAAACCAAAAAAGATCCTGTAAAGAGGCACAATACTCTTGGTAGGACCGTATCAGCTGCAGCACATTTAATAGACTGAAGAGGAAATACGGGGAAGTAGAAGGGAGGTCAAACTGCTTTGATATTAATGAACACTACACAGAAGGAGGGAGTTCCAAGCACTAATGCACAGAAGTATCAAGAAATTTTCAGTATATGTGAAGGAGTAGAACAGGCAGTAAAGACATTACTCATTACAGCTTGTCAGAATTTCCTTAAAAAAAAAAAATCACATGCCTTTCTCAGTAGAAAATTCTGGTTTTACCCAGTTGTGTGCATTTCTGTGAAATGCTAGTGAGTCTTCATTAGTGAAAAGAACGAAAACAAAATGGTATTTTGGTTTATGTTGATCTGAAAAGAGATGCTCTGGTTTGCAGAAGTGAGCTTAAATAATCAGTTTGATATTAAGTTGCTTATTTGCTGTCCAGCATCTTGGAGAGGATACATCCAGTCACACAGACAAGGCCCTGGAGTCTTAAGCATAAACAAAACACCAGATGTAGTCTCTTTAAAGGATCCAGTACATAAAGAATGCTGGGATAAATAATTAAAATTCCTGTTTCCAGTAGGCACTAACCTACTGTTAGCAGGTGCATTATACTGTCACATTAACTGCATTTTTATATATTTTTTTTTTCATGCTCCAAGCAAAATTTTTTTCAGAACTTTTAATCTAAAGTTTGGGACAAAACCATATGTTAAAATACTTCCTGTGAAACAGAAACTCTGACATTTTTTCTCCCCTGCAGAGATTACCAGCAAAGAGGAATAGAACAAGTACCAATTACTGGATGAGTAAGTTTCATCTATCAACCAACTGGCATTGAGGTCAAAGTGCATATGTTTCCAAACAAACAGGACCATGACATGGACATATATGGACATTATATCACAATGGTTTACATGAAATAACTTGAAAGAAATACAATATTTTCTGAAGGATAACACTCTGCTACAGAATGGATAGTAAGGGCCTCTTTCATATGGAACACTATTCGTTTTAGAAAGGCTTTAAATTGGTAAAAAAACCACTCATACTTTTACTGAACATACGGGTACAAAGAAATCTTAAATGTAAACATGAACTTTGGGAAAAGATTAATTTCTCATATGCTATTCACATAAATTTACATCCTCAATAACTTTGATCTGTGCTACACCACAGGAACTCACATAAAAATACCTCGTCTTTTTTGCTTCAGACCCCTTGCCACATGACACTTTCAAGTTTCTCTGAATTGTTTTGAAATTATGATTTTTACATCCCCTAGGTAGGCTTTTCAGCTCTAGAGAACTGTTATTAAAAAATCCAGTAATTGGAGTACCCATTGAATTACACTGAAGATGCAGCAAGCTAACCTGACCTATGGTTTCTCTAGGCTCATATGGCAGATACCAGCTTTCCAGCAATGCTTTTGCAGCTTTCCACTGATGCTTTTTCACCTTTCGGGGGAAACATGGCATTCTTTCTGTACTCTGCTTTACTTGACCATGTTCTTGGTGGGTCAGTGTGTCACGCTGACGTTACAACAAGCTCAAATGAGCTGCATAAAATGCTCCTTCAAGTACAGAGAACCTGGTTTGTACAAAGTCCACAGATATTCTTCATGTGAGTGTTGAGCAAAACGGCTCTGTACCCCTCTCATACTGGCTTAGATCTTAGCTTACACTGTGCTTAAAGAGTTGCTTTCTGTTCAGCTTAGAGTGGGTGCCAATCTTCATACAGATACAGGCACGTGTCTCACTCTTTGTTGAACGTTTTACTGTAAGTATCTTGTTTTTTGTCTATTGTTTTGGTTCTTTCAAATGGTCATTTTTCCAAGGTCAAGGTAAAAAGTTATGGGGTTTCTATGGATATTTTCTTCAGCACTCCATAAAACAACACATTTTGCCGTAGTTAACCACTATATACACTTGATATCTGAATTTCAGGTGCTACACTCAAGGACATTTGTTGAGAGCAAAGCACTTATCTTTCCTACACCTTATTATCCAGTGGAAAGGAAGTCTTGCTATTGCAAATGGTATCTGTTAACAGAATGTACAATTAGATCACTCGTTGTTTATGTGTTTTCTAGTGATATAAAATCATTGAGTGTGGTACAAGGTCTCCAGAAGCCCATAGATGTCTAAATCCTAGGGGTGCAGGCTTGCAGCACTTAAAACGTACTTGGCTCAGAATCCACACGCTGTTGTGAAATTTCATTCTAGTTGTAATGTTTTTTCCAGTATAACTTAGTGCTAGGTTTTTAAAATATAGTTGGTAGAAAATCTACATCGACCATTTCATAACATCTTTTGCTTTCCGATTTCTATGCTGAAAATCTACAAAGATTTTCGATTATGCAGCTGCAACCTTCTGTCAAACAACACTTCACACATATCTATGGTGGCAGAATTCTGAGACTGTAGGATATCTGGGTTTTGCTATTGCTTTGGCTTGAGAGGT